CACCATTAACTTACTCATTGATTTCAATAAAAAAAATGTCTTAGGTTCGAACCACATCCCAATCAAAGTTGGCATAATTAGTACTCTATTTTACTCTTATTAAAGAGAAAATTACACTTTTGATCCTGTGACTATTTGGGTGTTGTTAATTTCAATCCACAACTTTAAAAACTAACAAATTAGTACCACAACTATGCAATTTTTAACAGATTTGATCCACATGGCCAATTTGCCGGCAAAATATAACTGAAAAGACAAATTTACCCTCAAATTTTTAAAATAATAACTAAAATTAATTTATGTACGACTTCCGGTGGGGTACAGTGATCTGCGCCAGCGACTGGAAATTGCATTTGACGATAGTGTTGACGATAATCATGATTCCTGGTATGTAAAAACATATCATCTCGGAACTCAGCCTGCAAATCTGGACTAACCGGAAAATTTCTATCAAATCCTAACCTCGGACAACGAAATTCCCTTAGTGGAAACGATGAAAAATCATGATAATCCGGGGGAAATGCGAAGTATGTCCTCACAGAACTATCCGCAGGCATTTTGGAATTATTTTCCAGCATTGACCATCTCATATGGGACACTGATACCAGGTAAAGGGAGTGGGTCCGTTCAGCGTACTAGACAATTCCGACGAAGAAGACGATCTCGGTGGAGATGGTTAAGCAGCGGTGGTAACGGTAGAAAACAAGGAGAACGGAGAAAGATTGAACAATGAGGGTGAGGAGTTGGTGGTGCCATAAGTTGTCTTCTATGTCGAAGTAGGTGATGGCGTGGGGGCCGCCCAAGTGGAGCAAGAGGAGGGTGCCCAGAAAGCCTCCAGGAGGGACGATTTGGTGCCGGCAGCGCCTTCGTAGTCGGAGTTGCTATTGATGAGGGCTATGTCAAAGGTTGAAAAGTAGTCGGAAAGTAAATAGGCACACTAGATTGTTAGGTGGGTGAACCCTTTCTTTATCCTTTTTTCTCAACGACGAAAGGAATTGCCGGACTCCGTTGGCATGGCCACGGGAAAAGTAAATAATTTAACTTTTCAATTATTATTTTAGAAATTTGAGGGTAAATTTATCTTTTCAGTAATATTTTGTCGGCAATTTGGCTAGGTGGACTAAATATGTTAAAAATTGCATAGTTAAGGTACTAAATTGTTAGTTTTTAAAGTTGTGGATTGAAATTAACAACACCTCAATAGTCATAGGACCAAAAGTGTAATTTTCTCCTTATTAAATTATATAAATAATAATTTAGTAGTTACAACAAAAAATAATACATATGCATTTCTTTAATTTAGAATTATGTGTCCACAATGCCTTTATTCAAAAAAAAAATTATTCATTATCAATCAATTAAATAAGAGAAATAATTTTATTAGTTATATTGTCTTTATTTTTCTTCAATATAAAAATTCTTTATATTCAAATTTATTAATTGATTATATTCGCTACATTATCCTTACAATGTCTTTATTCAGTGAATTTTTTTTATTAATTATCAATAAATTAATTAAAAGAAATATTTTCATTAGTTATAGTGTCTTTATTTTTCTCAAATGTAAATATGTTTACATTCAAATTCATCAATTCATTATATTCACTACATTATCTATTATCTTTTTTGTGCACTATTTTTCTAATTAAATATCAAAGTTATAATACAAAATAATGCTATATATATATATATATATATATATATATATATATTTATTTATTTATTTATTTATTTATTTACCAAGTATTTTATTAATACCATGAAAAAATTAAAAAAATATAATTAATAAAGTCAACCATATTAACTACTTGAGAGATTTTGTGACAACGAGAGTATTCAAATCACACAACAAATTGAAGTGAGAACTACCTCGCAATGTCCTTGTTTTACAATCAGCAGTTAGCGGTTAACGTTAGCGGATTATACTAGCGGATTTGACCAGCGAATTTATTTAATTATTAACATTGGGTAGAAAAAATGACTGCCAAATTATTAAATCAAATAAATGGTTCATATTGTTCAGGTTTTAATTTTTTCTTTTAAAATTTTCTAATTTATCCTTAATTATATGATTATCCATTTAACTTTTCCGTTAATTCACTGTTAGTCTAATTCTAATATTAAAGTCTAATATAGAATTATAACTACACCATTAATCTAATTCTAATATTAAAGTCTTAATAGAACTTAACCACAAATCCTAATGTCGGAATCTCCTCAAACAATATTAGTATATATTTAATATTTTATGTCCTAATTTTTATTTGTTCTCCCTTATGTCCCGTATTTGGTTTCAACGATACCTATACAATTATTTTATTGACAATTATAATCAATCTTGACTATATTATCTTGCATTTGTAAACTTAGAATTACCTATTTAACCCGCACGGGCTTAGCTTAATGGTTTAGTGGGTAGTATTTGGGAGAAGAGACGAAGGTTTGAACCTCGGCGGCGGCAATGCGGGAATTATGTCCAAAGTGGGCAGATTCCTTGTGCGTATCAGCATTTGGCCCTGTCTGCTGAACCATTGAGTCACCGTGATTTACAACTTCCCACAATGCTCTGTCTGGTCGGAGTGTGGGGGGCCCTTGGGGTTGGGGACTCAATCTTTGGGAGAAGAATTACCTATTTAAATACGCAAATTCAACCTTCAATTATCTATGCATGAACAATTTCAATATAATCCTGTCTTAATATACTTTAAAGTACTTATTTAAAAAAAAAAAGCATGGGACATTATCCCAATCGCGCAATACGCGTAAAAAACTAGTATATTACATAAGATCTATCCACGTCCACGTTGATCAATAATATACTCATTGAATTACTTATATAAAGTAGTGCTATTTAATAATAAAGGCAGAGTTTGCATTGTATGAGTTAGGTGACAATAATTTTTTTTAATACTCTTTTCTTTATTTTAATTTATTAACCATTTAGTAATTAAAATAAATCAATTTAATATTTATTAATTTAGTAGTGATATTTTTTGAAAGTCAAACGAATCAATATATTAAGTCTCATCAAAGAAATCAGGAGGGACGTCGTCTTAATATATAAGTTTGGTTTGTGTCTCAGCTACACTAACAAGAGCATGAGCAAACTGGTTTTTAGATCGTGGAATATATTCAAAAGAAATAGCTAATTAAAAATGAACTACTATAGACAATCGAAAATAATACTACCAAGGTAGGTTCGGTTGGTTTCACCATTGCATAGGCCGGGCATGAACCAAGTTAAGGCAATCGGATTTGATACGGACTTCACGAACCCTACGTTACTTTAGCCTATAGAGAGCCTCTCTGCATGCCATTGCACATATCCACCCTTTCATGATGAGCCATGCAAACGCCCCTAACCTTGTTTGGATATTATGCAACGAGTATCCAAACCCATTACATTATTAGAGTTTGGGGCAATAAGATATCTCATATTAGGGCTATTTCATAATTTCTATAAACCTACATTATGAATGGAGACAAAATCTGTGCCTTTGTTTGCAATTATAACCAAATTAAGGCCCTTAGCTTGCCCACACAAGACAAATGTTATTGCCTCCCGAACCCCACATAGACACATCTTTGCCCACGAAAGGTAAAACCCTTTCCCCCACTCACTGGTCCATTAAGTGAGAGGTCTAGTGTCTAGTGTCAAGGAATTCATTACAAAAAGTGATGAAATTGTCGCACTTTAACTGTTTTTTTTTTTTTTTTTTTTTTGAAAACCATAAGAACATTCCATTAACTTAAATCCGAAAGCAACACATTACAAATGATAGGCGGAGGGCTGAAGAACCACTCCGAGAAATCAGACAAAGAACTAGACTGCCTAGCAAGTACATGGGTTGCCTGGTTCGCTGATCTTTTGGTAAACGAAAGAAACACATTACAGAAATCATGCAAGAGGTGTTTAATATCCTCAACAATTAAATGAAAAGAAGATGCTCCGCCTTTGGATTTCAGACATTGAACAACTTGAAGGGAATCAGATTCCACCTGCACATTATCTATATTGTGCGACTTGAGCCAACTTAGCGCTTCCCGTATGGCGACTGCTTCGGCTTCCCTGGAGCTAAAAATACCCTTCCACTGAGCTCTTCTCGCTGCAATAAAATTGCCCTCTTCATCCCTTATCACACTGCCAAGACCCATTGCTGCTTCATTCTTATTTATATCGTAATTACACTCCACAAGAAGATGGGAAATCGATTCATCCGAGCTGTCACAGATGGGGCACCTGGTATCACAGTCGACTCTCCTCTTACGCAAAAGGTCCTTGGTGGGAAGACTATTGGAACATGCTAGCCAAAAGAAGATCTTAGCCTTTACATTGATTGCCTAAGTTTGGTTGGCTTTGAAGAACACATAGCTATCATCTGCGAATAGCAAATGAGTTTGGTTGTTAAAGTTCGAACTTACCTTGTTTACAATTTATTTATTAGAAATCAATTTTTTTTTTTATAAAAAAAAAAAAAAAAAAAAGATGTTCATGTAGGTCTCAAGCTAATTAAGGTCACACACTTATCAAACAAGATAATAGAATGATAAATTACAATAACTTAGCAGCAACCAATATCTACGGCTCCAAAGGAACCCACTTGTTAGGTGAAACCCCTACACTCTGGTTACCCTATCAAAATGAGACCATCCAGTATCATTAAGGTTATAATTTACCACTCAGAACCAATCGATCAAGTTGCTTGAGACAAGATTAAGAGTTCTAGTACATGTACTTCATATTTCTATTCTCTTATTTGTACTTCCTAATATGACAATTGATGGTTAGTTATTTCATTCTGTGAATCCTAATAAAAATGTCAACATCAATATTTTATAAGAGAAAATTAAAGTTGTGAGTTAAATTTGAAAGTACAAGTAGTATTTTTCCAAAATTAATGCCTTGCTCTATCAAAATGGGACCAGACAGTCAGACACCGTGGCATACGTGGAATCAATAGATTCTTATTCTCCCCGAAACCGCTCGCCAAACCAACTGCTTATCCGAAGTTCCGAAAACCCAAATCGAAATTCTCAGAAACCATTTCTCCCCAGCTCAAGAAACCTCCAATGTCTGAACCCAAATCAGAGCCATCATCAATCTCGGTTTCAGGTAATACTTTCATCTCACTTCTTTAATTTTCACTTTTTGTTTCATGAGAACTGCCGTTGGATTTAGATTCTATTCAGAAATCCTAGATTTTTTAAAATTTAAATCCACTCTTTACAAGATCATGAACATGCCCTCAATGTGTTTGTGCGTGTGTCTGTGTAAGCGCAAGTGTGTCTGTATTGTTCAGGGGTGACTATCACTATGGTATTCTTAATTCTTAATGTTGGGCAGAGAAGGGAGTGAAAGCCCCCAATGTGTTTGTGAGAGTGAAGGAAGAGTTCGAGGCAGTGGTACATAGTCAACACAAAACTCACGGTGAGAGTCACGGGAAGCGCACCGATTTGGATGAGAAGACGCCAATGAGTGAGGTGAAAGCCCCCAATGTGTTTGGGAGGGCTAAGGAGGAGATTGAGGCTCTTGTGCAGACAATTCATACTAAGAAGGAATCCGGTGGATCGGATTCATGTGAAGAACTAAGGTTTTGTTTTTTGTTTTTGGTCAGTATGTTGTTTTAGACGAGATATCTTTGGTTGAATTGACAGGGTTATGTTTTTGCGTTTTGCTTGCAGGGATTCAAGTCCTAACTCAGGTATGAAGTTACATTGTTATAGGCTTCGAGTTTTAGTTGTTCAAATGTGAAACTAGTAATTGTGTTGCGTTTTGGTGGTTTGAGATGCTATTTATCTACTACATACACACTCGATGACTCGAACAATATAACTGATGACAGGAACTCCAAAAGAACAATGTCAATAAGAATGCAGCACAAAGTTGAGATCTTTAGGTGCTCAAAGGCTTAGGGAAAGATATTAGCATACCTATCTTCCATAGATGTAACATGGGTAGAGAACTTAGTAGAAATTTGAGAATACTTCTTCATATGTTGGTTTTAAATAGGACCCCTCTCTCAGTGGCTAATTTACTTCTTTTGAGTAACATTTTGTCCAGTTCTGGGACATGGAGTTTGGTAAATGCCTTCGATTGGATGTGTGCTTTACTTTCATGGTATCAAAGATGACTCAGTTTTGAAGCAAATAACATGTCCCATGATCAAAGGTTTATCTTTTGTGGATTATCCTTTGACATTGCTTGGACTCTGAGTTTGTAATCTTCCATTTTTCCCTACTGGGATTATATTTCTGTAGAGAAGGATGCTAAGGGGCCGAGCTGGATAGAGAAGTCTAAAAAAGAGATGGAAGATCTTGTGAACAAGATAAAGTCACCGCGCTCTCACCATCACCATAAAGAAACTCACGGAATGAGTGATGACATTGATGAAAACACCCCAGTGAGTCACGTCAAAGGCCCGAATGTATTTTCACGAGCCAAGGAAGAAATCGAGGCCATTGTTGAAGCTATTCACCCAAAGAAAGAAGAAAGGTAGGACTTGAAGCAACCATTGGAAGACGAGGATTGGAAACCATATATCTGCTCCCCTTCTCGACGGAAAGGTTTATAGAAGATTTGCTCTCTTGGTAATCATAACAAAGATTGATATATATCTCAATGGAGAAACCAGATTCTTATCTTGTGAAAAACCATCAAAAAACCCATCCCCCATTTGTTGAAAAACTATGGTTCAAGTTTTTAGACTGCAAAAATCACTTAAAATTCACTATTGTGAATGGTTTTGGAATTGGGTGGCCATGTATCATAACTTGGTTGTTGACTTGATTCTTTTTTTATAGCTGTGGGGTTCTTTGAATCAATTCTTTGGCTAAACTCAAAGGTCCCACTTACCCACCCACCATCAGATCATACCTTTAATCATGATTCATGACTCAACCTGGATCTGTGGCTCTAAACCACTCCACTTCATGAACTCTGAATGGATATGATGACTAGGCATATATATTTATACCATCCTACACTTATTTTATCCACAAATTATTGAGTCAATCACAAGTTCCTATCCTGTCATACCTTATCTTGTCTCATGCTGTTCCTTTGTCATTTTTCTCAAAGATGAGCCAAGCAATGTGTTTTCTCAATTATTTACATCGATACCATTACACCAAAAACTATAGTCAGCAATGGCGTAACAGGATGTTAAACTTAACTCTCTAAACTGTCACCCGACAATCCCCTCCCAACACCTACTAGCTTCAACCCCAGATCAAACGCTTACCACAACGCAAAAAGTTATAGCCAGTAGCAAATGCACAACTTTATTTCCTTATATACTTGCGAATAGTCAACGCCATAGTTTGATAGCATGATGCTATACTCGACTTTTCAAGCCGCTGCCCAACACAATCATTCTAAGGAATGATCACCAATTCGGTATCATGAAAATAAAAAGCAGAACATAATGAAACGCATGATACGAAAGGTAAAGGAAAGTGCGTATTTACATATCTTTTCTTTAAATATACTATGTAAGTTTCAATTTTGAACGTGAAAATATATGTTCATCCTTGAGAGTTTTTGTGCATCATAGATCGGTAATACTCTAGTGATCTTAAAACAACAGAAAATTTGACTTGGGTAATAAGAACTAGCATGGCTAATTAATGAATACCCATTAGTTAATCCAGGAGGGATCCCATACTGCTTTCTTCACTGCTGCAGAAAAACATTTTGGACATTATTAGCAAATTAAAATGCCATAAAAGTTAGCCAAAGTAATCTTGACATGAGGATACTATACCAGATAGCTTGTGGCACTGAGACAGGACAGTTGTCTTGCTCCACCAAGTCTCCAGCCAACATATCCTCCAACTCATAAACAATGTTGGATTGGTGTTCTTCAGCTGTTACTATGTTTTCATAAATCATAGTATCCTCCTCCATGAGCTTCTCCCACGCGAAGAAATTCTCAGAGAAAATGTTGGCCTGTTGCTCCTCAACCGACCTGTTTGATTCTACACCATTGAAAAGCATCGGGACCTCTGATTGATCTACCAACGAAGCCTGAGCCACGAGAGGTTTCACATCAACGCTTTCATTAGCAGTGGTAATAATCATGTCATCAGTGGCCTTTGCCAAAAGTTCATGGCTTTCTAAGGCAGCCAATCTTCTCTTCTTTGTTGCTTCACAGCCTCTTAGTGCAGCATTCTGCTTCATTTTCCCAATCAAACACTGAATAAAGAGGGGATTCTTTAACACTTTAGCCATGAAAACTACCATACGCTTTTGCCTAGTCTCAGCAAGTTCTAATTTTTCTTCGATACTGGCCAAATAACTTTCTGTTGTCTCTTGTTGTTGCTTTAGCGTCATCACTTCCATCTTCAAGGTGCTCTGATCAGTTCTAAGCTTTTGTAGCTCAACCTCTGCTGCCCCATTCTTACAAGCTCCTACCCTATTTTCTGCCCCTCCTTGCTGCTGCATCGCGGGATGATTGTGTTGCTTCCTCCTCTTGATATACTTGAGCAAATGCTTCTTCCCTTTCTGAAAGGCTTCATTTGCAAATTCCCATCTCCCTGAATCAATTTTCCTGAATTTCTAAACCCATTGCACAATAACAAAAATTCCAGTCATATACATACACAACTCAATTAGACATTCCTAAACTCCAAAACCTGAAAACTGGATAAAAAATTCGCCTTAATTCAGGACAACCCCAGTCAAGTTGTTCAGACTGTTGACTTGGTAACTATAAGACTACAAGTTCGACTCCTGGTGGGGGCAGTCTATTGACCTTCTTGGTTTAAGCCAATCAGCTATGGGCAATTTAGACTGGTTTATCTGGTCCTTTGCCTAGCAAGGTTTAAACGTTACTAAGTGCACACTCGGATAGTGTTTGCGGGTTTATCTCCTCACTCAAAATTTGCCTTAAAGCAACTCAATTCAGCTTTATCTAGCTAGGATCAAATTCACTTAATTGTTCTTACAATTCAACATGACTACTACAAATTTACAATGAAGCATTGGAATAACAAAATACACAAAAGGCTAAAAACATCATAAGTGAAATATTTCACTAAAGAATCCAGATAAAGCTAGATAGCTCAGATTTCTATATTATCGATCATATCCATTGATGAATACTCACATAGGTATTAAGCTGGCGAATGAAGCTAGAGAAGTTGGCGTGCTTGAAGTGTTGGGGAAGAAGCTCGGTGGCGAATCTGTGTGGGTCCCAAACAACAAAGCTCTTCTTAGAAGCTCCCCAAGAGATAATGGCGTCGGTGTTAGGATCATCCACCATTGCAAATGTCTTGCTCAAAAATGGCGGCGGACCGCCCACCTCCTTCACCCCTTCCATTGATCTCAGACCCAAACCCAACCCTCCATTCCCACCATCGCCGCAGCCGTAATCCACATCACAGTCATCGAGAACAACCACTTCCGGCGGCTCTACTTTCACAGTAACCTCGCCGTCGATTCCCGAGCTTTCCACCACCATTTCGGGCGGCGCAAAAAGACCCTCGGCGCGATTTTCGATTTCTTGAAATGGGTGATAGCGATTCAGCTCTGAAGAGGCGCCATTGAAGGAGAAAAAAAAGAAGAATGGTTGTTGAGAAGGGGTTTGCTGGCGGTTTTGCATAACCAACGACGTTGTCGTATGTATAATACGGTAGGGCGTTGTGGATGACGCGCGGAGGATGCGCGTGAGGGTGTGCGTTGTAGGAGTGGTTGAAAGGTGGACAAAATAGGAAAAAGGGTTTCCGTTAACATGTTGCCATTTGTAGCTCTGAGAATCGTACAAGTTTCGATTCGCCACACCATTCAGCCCCTCATTTTTAAATATATTTTATTTTGACCCATACATAATTTTTTATTCTTTTTCGCACACAAAACTCGCTGTTGTTGAGTAATCATAGGCCGGGACTCCCGGGAGAACCTTACAAATAAGTTATTATTTGATTAAATATTTAGAGGTATTTTCTTTTTTCCTCTTTCACAGTCAACACTTAAGAGTAACTCTATTGATGGGCTTTTTGAAAATTTTGACCGATTTAAGAAACTCTACTTTGAGGTTTTTTTTTAAAGGTGTCAAAATGGTTTAAAACTCACTAGCTAGCTCGTACCCGTCTCGCAGTGAGGCAGGTTAACCCACACTTGCTGCAGACTAACTCGCAGGCCAAGTATTTTATATACTCTTTCCGTCTTAGTTCGGTTGACGAAGTTTGGTTGAAATTATTTTTGATTCATTTTTTTCATATGTTTAAAAACTACATTAAAGTACTATAAAATTCAAAATTTTAAATTTAAAAATAATTAAAAACTATTAAAGAAAATAAGCAAAGAAGAAAGAGTTGGTTTGATTAATGAACAGTAAACATGACAAGTAAAATGAGACAGAGGGAATATTAAACACAAAAAATTAAATTTAAAAATAATTAAAAATATTAAAGAAAATAAGCAAAGAATAAAGAATTTGTTTGACCAATAAATAATGAACATTACAAGTAAAATGGGACTGAGAGGTATATAATATATATATATATATATATATATATATATATATATATATATATATATATATATATATAGTCAAGATCTAGTGCAGCCACTGCTTCTGATCTTGTGCAATATTGCACCACTATGTATGCATAAATGCACCAAGGTATGATGCATTTATATGGTGCATTTTTAACACGTGATGGTGCAATCCGTACAGCCGCATGAGAATAGGACGCCGCATTTGGACCAACACACACACACACACACACACACACACACACACACACACACACACACATATATATATATATATATATATATATATATATATATATATATATATAAAATTCTTGTAATGTATTTATTTTTATTTTCTTTTTATTCTTGTAATTTTGTAATATTTCTTCATGAATCATAATTTTAATTGTTAATTATAACTTTTTTATTAAAATTTTTTAAAAGAATTAAGCATATTTTCCAAAGTTGCGGGTTGGACCGTATGGCCAGCCAAAATTAAGTCCATGGTAGGGTAGGCTCGCCCGCTTTGACAATACTAATTTTTTCATAATAAAAGATCTAATTATTTTACAATAATTGAAATTATGATCTTTTAGTACCAAATCATAAGTCCATTCAATCACATCTTTTTTTCTCGTATTGCCAAAAGTAGTGGGCATAATTTTCTCTAAGGGCATCCTTTATACGTTATCAAATTAATAATAATTTCCATGAATTACAAGTCGATCACAACACATACATGCCATGTCTAAATGTGTTCTCAAATGAAATTATTAATTATTTGTAAATTAATCAATAAGTTAAAAAATGAATTATATCGTTTCAAATAAAACTTGATATAAATAAATAATTTTAAAGTGACAATGTTGGAATAGTGATCCATATATATTAACTAGGCGTCTAGGCCAAGTCTAATAAGATTAATGATATGGATTAAAGAAATACAATTGTAGTGAAAACGGGTCAGGTCTATTGTTTAGTCGAATATCTACCCTTCGACGCAATAGCCAATCGTTGGGCCTAACACATTGTTAACAAAAGAATTAATCAAGGTCTTTATTGAGAGATCCATCCAGGTTGTTACTTAAGAACCACAATGTTACAAGTCTAATTCTCAGTAAAAATATTGATCTATTAATTTTATTGGTTTGAGTTAATCAGCTATAGATCAGACAACTTAAACTTGATTAATTTATTGTGGTCATTAATTTAACTAACACTATCAAGTAGTGATTGCAGATACACTCAAAAAAAGATATACAAAGGATGATGTAGGGCTTACAAGGACTATACCAACCACCGTCAACCAATAATAGTTATTATTATCATTATTATATTATTAATTATTAATAACAAATATTTTAACAAGGTAGCATTACTATTACTATATCTTAACAGAGAGAGAAAAGCGATGATTAGTAACAATCATAGTAGCCAGGGAGAATTTAATTATATAGACTATAGTTCACAGTACAGTTCAATTAATTTGACTTAGCAACACTATCAATATAACATTAATATTCTTTATTACGTGCACCAAATTTATAGATTCAAGGAATAAGGTTCAAATTGGCCACTGAACGTAACCTGAAAGTGCAATTAGGCCACTGAACGAAAAAAAGTGCAATTAGGTCACTGAACACTTCAAAAATGTGCAATTTCACCTGATAGCAGGTTACCCTCAATTTTAGCAGGTTATCTGCTTACGTGGCAGCTGAGTTGGCATTTTTAATAAATTTTAATAAATTTTAATAATAAATTTTTATTAAAAATTTTTTAAAAAAATAAAAACGAATTTATTTTATTTTTTATTTAATTTTTTCCAATTTTTTTAAAAAATTTATTATTAAAATTAATTATTAAAAATTATTTAAAAATTATTTAAAATGCCAACTAAGCTGCCACGTAAGCAGGTAACCTGCTAAAATTGATGGTAACCTGCTATCCGGTAAAATTGCATACGTTTGGAGAGTTCAGTGACCTAATTGCACATTTTTTGAGTGTTCAATGGCCTAATTGCACTTTTTTTTTTCGTTCAATAGCCTAATTGCATTTTCAGGTTACGTTCAGTGGCCAATTTGAACCTTATTCCTAGATTCAAATTACATTTCAAATCCAAAGAGTATTTATCATCAACTGATTACAAAATATATTTCCAACAAACTCTCAAAAATTGAGATATAAACACAAATTAATGATACGAGGTAAAATGAATCTTTCATCATATCATATCATAACTGCAACAATAACTATTCATTAACAACAAATGTGAGTTTTTTTCAATCAAATATACTTTTAAACATAACTATATAGTCATTAACAACAAATGTGAGTTTTTTTTCAATCAAATATAATTTTAAATCTTAGACTAACTAATTCTAATGTTTTTGCTAACAATATAATAATTTGATCGCATTCTAATGTTTTTCTAATTCTACTAATACAATTATTATTCCTATAAAACTATAATGGATAATTGAGTATATAATGCTAGGGGCATATCACTAACCTGTATAACAAATGTTAATTCATGCGTGATTTTGAATCTCTATTTATGCTAATCAAATCTCTTTCATGAACTCCATCTCAAAAGTTGTTGAGTTCACTGTTCACGTCTTTCACTATTTGATCAAGATTATCAACAATAGGGCTAGGAGTTATTTTTATGATACTAATTAACCATTACTATGATTTATTTTTATTTGTATTTTTATGAGATACATACTTTTAAATTTGTTTATACTACGTTATCAATGCTATTTTATTAAATAATCAAAAATTAAAATATAATTAGTAAGAAGTGAAACCATGTTATTTATAAATTAAAGTATATACTACATTTAACCTTCCTACTACAATACCTTTTTATTAATGTTTATTTTATTTGTATTTAAAAACAAAATACTTTGGCCCTGTTTGGTAAATGGCGGTTAGCTGTTAGCTGATTGTGTTAATTAGAGGGTACAAATAGTTGATAACATTAGCTGCTTGTAGAAATGTGTTTGGTAAATTAGCTGTTAACTGATAGCTGTTTGGTATAATTTCTTTTTTCAAAAAGCTAATTGAAAATGCTACTTTAATTTGAACAACTTTTTAAATTTTAGCATTTTAGAGTGATTTATTAACCAAGTCAAACAATTAATAGTGATCAAATAAGCCAAAATGAGTTGATAGGCTAATATTTTAGCGGAGCATTATGTTGTGCAACCGTGTGCACCATGTTGCAAAAACGACGTCGTTTTGCCGTCCGACTTAAAAAAAACTAGTTTAGATTGTCGTTAACGACGTTATGTTGTGCATAATTTGAACTATAGATTTCATTCATTCTGGATACATAGTTCATTCATTCTGGATATATAGTTCAAATTATGCACAAGTGCACAACATAACGCCGTTAATAGCAATCGAAACTGATTTTTTTTTTAAAATCGGACGCACGTTTTTAATCAAAACGATGTCATTTTTGCAATGCACACGGTTGCAGGGCATAATTTGCGTATTTTACCAAATAGGGCCTTTGCTACAACTCCTTTAATTTGTATTATTATTAGTATTAATATGCTTTTTATTTTGCCTACTTAAACTTTTAGAAACAATATTTTAAAAAGTTAGTTTATTATAGCTAGGAACTTTACAATATACTTTTAGAAACTTTTAAGCTAATTTTATTTAATTAAACATTGTTTCACCAAGATTATGTGGTCTAATAGTACCCGGATTGAATTTTCATTTGAAAGGTTGTGAATTCGAGTCTCAGTAGAGGTGTTACTGGTTCTTTGTGTTTCAGTAGGTTGAGAAAGTAGAGTCAGTAGCGTTAAAAAAAAATTAAACATTGTTTCCAAACATTTAAAGTTAATTCATTTAATTTTTATTAATATGTATTTTATTTCATTAATTAATTTATTAATTTGATAAAACGTTTAGAAATAATATCTAAAATAATATCTATGTGCATCGTCTCTCACTCTTTTCATTTTGCAATTACTGCACACCTATCTTCATTTAAAGTTTGAAAGTAATTTTTTTTTATTTGGGGGAATTTAACATTTAGTCATCGATTATATATTGTGGCATATTACATTTGGTCATATTCTTTTAATTTTGACGCATTATATTATTGACTTTTATTTATTTGTCACAACTAATCTCGTTTAAATTTGCTGACTAAACGTACTTGAATAGTGAAATTTGCTCCTTTTTGTTTTCTACACGTACTTGACGTCAATGGGGATGTTTGAAACTTTTTTAGTCATTCGTTAATATTTTGTCAATATTTTAAAAATTTCCATCATACCTGAACCTTTTTTTTTTTTTTTTTTTTTTTGAAAGGACCTTGATAAACTAACTTAAAAAAAAAAAGAAAAAGAAAAAGAAAACATCCTTTGAACTCTTTGTTAATAAATTCAAAATTTTTAGACGACGTACCTATACATTAGAAAGTATATAATTAGAATTTTTTTTTTCTCTTATGACGATGTCGGAATTGTTTTTATTTTTATTTTTATTTTTTTTTTTAAAAAAATCCAATGTCATTACTTACGTATTTAATTTAGAGAGTGTATTTAATCATTATTACTTCTGTAGATTTTAAAACTTCTAAAAGAGAAAATGACACTTTTTTCTCCTGAGTTATATACTTATAGCATTTTTTTCCCCTGAATTATTTAAGTGGCTCTTTTCTCCCCTGAAATGTTAAATGGACATATTTACCCTTAAAATAAATATTTTATTTATTTTTCTTCTCCAACAAATTATTACTATCATTCGGTTCAAACCAAACAGATACTATAGCACCAAACCAAAATATTTCAATTACAATTTATAATCAAAATGCGATATTTAGAGTTTATTAAAATCGCAAACTGAAATGGTCGGTTCATGTTCCGAACTGAAAAAATAAAATACATTTATTGTTGAATTTAAACTATTTTAAAATAAAAAATAAAATTTTAAAATAAAGATGATTCAAAATCGCGAACCGGATCCGGAACCGCCGGTTCACGGTTCATGATCCAGTTTTTTTTTATTCTTAAATTTAATAAATTGAAATCTAAATATTGGATTCTAGATCTGAATAATAACCGAAAACTTTTAATTCGATCGCTATAATGTCTGGTTCAGTTCGAACCGAACCGTGGTAATCGCTACATATACACAATAATTTGTTGGAGAAGTAAAATAAATAAAATGTTTACTTTAAGGGTAGAAATGTCAATTTAATATATTAAGGGGAAAAACCACCACTTTTAAAATAATTGAGGGGGCTAATGTGCTTACATAAATAATTGAGGAAGAAAAGTGCTATAAATATATAACTTAGGGGGGAAAAGTGTCATTTTCCCCTTTTAAAATGATGATTTTTTAATAAATTTTGTAGTCTTTCAAAAGTATCTAATTTAGCTTGAGTCCCTTATGGTAAGGCGATTTCGCATATCATTTTCCGTGAGACGCTTAATTAGAAAAGTAGTAATTATGATTTTTAAAAAAGGTAATACTATTCAGAACGATATTTTTTATGAAACATACAATATTTTTAAATCAAAGGTGTTAAAAAGTTGCTTATTATGAAAAAAAAATGTAATACTAACCATTGATAAATTAATTGATTATTATTTATGAGGGAAAACTTATAAGGAAAAGTGAAATACAAATCGTATATGGATAAATTGAATATTACTTATAATGAAAAATGTAACACTTATTAGAAAAAAATGCGATACTTTTGAGTTTTGATGAAAAATGTATGTAATACTTCTAAATCAAAATATAATACTTAGGAATTGAAAAGTTACTTATGAGATAAACTATATATAATACTTATGAGAGAAAGTGTAATACTTATTAAAAATATGATCGTCTCACATATAAGGATTCATGAGATGGTCTCATATGAAATTTTGCCTTTAATTTAAGGACGTTAGAAATGGTAGCTGATTTTGAGTACATGTTTGGCACAAACTATTTCTAAAGAGCAAGTTTCACTTTTAGTCCCCAACTATTGTGACATTGTTATATTTAGTTATATTATTTTAATTTTATTTCACTTTTAGTCTTCAACTATTGTGACATTGTTTTAATTTTGTTTCATTATATCCTTGGCTTTTGTTTGATTGTTCCAATTAGTCTTCCACAACTAATTTTGTTTCACTTTTAGTCCTCAACTATTCCATCAGTACTATATGCTAAAAAATATTTTTGGATTGTGTTAATAAATATTCACAAAAATTTTTAAAAAAAATCATTTTATGCACTATCTTATACTTCTTTGTCCCATTTTATATGTCATGTTTACTATGCATTTGTCAAACAAACTCTTTATTCTTTGTTTTATATACTAATACTAAACATAAAATTATAAAAAATAAGATTGTAACTAATTTAAATTAATTATCGTTAATTGAACTAGACACATAAAATGGATCAGAGAGAGTTTATTTATTTATTTTAATCAATAATCACAATTCTTCAGTAACATGCATATGCCAAAAAAAAAAAAACTGAATGAAGTTGTACCCTTAATATTTTTTTTTTTTTTTGAAAAAGTTGTACCCTTAATATAGTTATAAATTAAAACAATAAATGTATATATATAGCAATTCAATTCATTAAAAAGAACAATAGTAAGAAATCCAAACACTGCACAAAGTGCCGAAAAGGAAAACAGATGAATGAAAATATGATATTATTAAAGAATACCAAAAAAGAATTGTAAATAATAATAATAATAATGTTAGTAAAAAATTTCACCATTTGCCACTTTGATAATTGAAAAGTTTATATTAGTTATAAAATATGATTTTATACTTAGACCGCATATTTTGGTAGCCGTTGTAAATTTTTTGTTTGTGGGAATATAATTTTTTTTTTCAACCAACTAATGAGAAATACAAAAAAACTAATCACGTTCCAAGTTTACATAATCTCACCCACATCATAACCATTTTCAAAAAAAAAAAGAAAAAAACAACGAATATGGCAGGTCAGCATTTTGTAAAACGTTGGATAGAATTGGTGCGTGATGAATATAATTTATAAAATCCCGTTGAAATTCCATTAAAAGCAAATTGAAAATATTATAAAAATACCAAAGAAGGCGTCGAATCCCACCTACCAAACAACTCAATGTTCATCAGCTATAAATTGAGCTCTTAAAAACCATTGTTTCCTCACAGAAAAAAACAGCAAAAGCAGACCATTGGATCAGTGCAAGGTTTCTCAGAATTCCATTTCTCTTGTGTTCTAAAAATGAGCAAAGCCAACACCAATCCCAGTTCCAGCAATCCCGGTCCCAGCAATCCCAATCCCAGTTCCAGCAATCCCGGTCCCAGCAATCCCATTCTCAAGCCCGGTAAAACCCAATCTTCAAATCCACAAGTTCATACACTTAATTCAAATTTCTGGGTAGAAATGAAACTAATTTAATTTGTTTGCTTTTCCTTGTATGTAGCCATGAAATCTGAGGTTGGAGTCGATGTAACAACGGCCAGAATTCTGAGAGTAAGATTCCTATGACTCCATCGAAATGTTTTTCCACTTCTTTGATATATATATATATAATCTTTGTTTACTACTCGATCTTAGGTTCATCATTCGTACGATGGGTACTTTTTGCAGAATGAGCTTTTGAGCTTTGCAAGGGGACCTGAACCACTTCAGAGTCTCAGCTCTTCAACTGATCAAGTTCAAACACGTCTTATAGCTCTTAGAGAGATTCAGGTCACCCAGAATCTATCTTATATATATATATGGTCAATAATTATATATATATATATATATATATATAGTTATATTAGTCGAGATATATATGATGGAATAAAATTGTAGTTGTGTTTTGAATGTGCAGATTAAGCTTGATGAATATGAGGTTGAGCACAGCAAGGAGAAAGAAGCTCTTGAGGCCAAGTACCAGAAGATATACTACCCACTGTATGACCAGGTATATACCTTATAGCTAGTATACATAACAATATTTTATTTTATTTACTGATATAAATAAATTAAATCAAATGTTCTATATATATACTGATCATATAATATATATATATAATTTCAGAGGTATAAAATTGTGAGTGGAGCCCTTGAAGGTGAAGATTATGTTGGAACACAAAACATGGGGGTTAAACGAGACGAAGGCAAAGGAATCCCATCCTTCTGGCTGGTTGCTATGAAGAACAATAAGACAATAGCTAACGCGGTTAGGGTTTCTAAACTTCAATTCACCAATATTTTTTTTTTTTAATTAGAAAAATGACACTTTTTATCCTTGAATTATATGTTTTTCCCTGATTCCTTCTGAGTTATTTGTGTAAATATCCACATTTGCCCCTCAATTATTTTAAAAATGATGATTTTTATCCACTAGGTTAAATAGGGTTTTGGATTGTTAAAAATAAGAGGAAAATAAGTATTTTATTTGTTTTTATTTTCCAATAAATTATTGCTTATATGTGAGAATTAGAATAAACGTGAAAAAAATAAATACTATTTACAAATATTATAATTATAATTTTAACTTAATGCTAAACATAAATAATTCATTATTGTTAAATTTATGCTAGCTTAAGTCTTAATTATATTACTAGCAATAGTTTAAAATTATAATTATAATATTTACAAATAATTTTTGTATTTATTCTAATCCCAACATATAAGCACGGGGAATGAAAGTGATTTGATATAACTATTTTAATTTGTCCTTATTTTTAACAATCCAAAAGTATATAAGCTTATAATTCATTAGGGGAAAAGTGTCATTTTCCCGGCCTTCTCAATTCTAATAACCTTGTTGTTTTGCATATATATATATATATATATTAATGTTTTTACCCATTATTGTGGTTGTTGTTGGAGGCTGGCCTGCAGATTTCTGAGAAGGATGAAGCCGCTCTTGCATTTCTGAAGGACATAGAATGGTCCAGGCGGGTTGAACCAGAAAGCTTCAAACTTGATTTCTTCTTTGAAAAGAACAACCCATTCTTCAGCAACCCAGTCTTGACGAAAACTTTTTACATGCTTGGTGATGAAATTCTTTTGAAAACAACAGGGTAACTATGTTCTGATATCGAATTAAAGGATGTGTTCTGTCTTAACTAGAAATCTAAACTGATAGTTAGACTGCATATTTGCAGAAGCGTGATCGATTGGTATCCAGGGAAATGCTTGACAGAAAACACGAAGAGGAAGAATGAAGCTAAGAGGAGTGCTAAGAATAAGGAAGCTATGACTGGAAGTGATGAGGAGGAGAGGTTTAGTTTCTTCAACTTCTTCGGCCCACTTGAGGTTCTCAAGGCTGATCATCCTGATGTAAGAATACAGTCATTTAATTTATTGTAATTATCGAATTCGGAGATTCAATGTAGTGTTTCGTGACACGATTACACATTTATGATTTATATATTATATGCTCAACATTTGACAACCATATATATATGAACCTTCATTCTTGTTGTCAACAGGCTGAGGAGGTGAAGGAATTGATGCAGCAGGACTATAGAATTGGGTAAGTGTTTTGCTGCAAAAACTCGAGATTTTCAACCACCCAAAATCGTTTACTTTATATTTCTGTTTTTCTAGTTACTATATAGGCAACTTAGGGATTTTTGCCTTTAATTACCTTCAGAAATGATATTCAATTCTGAAAAAACTTTTGTCACTATTACCGACCACTTGATAAAAGTGATACGTAATAGTACACTGACCACCAACAAAGGTTGTCGGAAAACTATATGTGAAACTTAGGTTTTGAATTGGTTATAAACTATATATGTTGTGTTTGATGTAGGATGACAATTAGGAACAAGATCATTCCACATGCGTTGTATTGGTACACTGGAGAAGCATTTGAAGACGATGAGATTATTAATTGCCCTGATAATTCTGATGATGATCTATTTCAATACGATGATGATGATGACTCCTACGACGATGATGATGATGACGACGACTACTACTACGATGATGAAGATGATGATGACTACTTTGACGACGTATCTGATGATGAATGTGAAGATGAGGGAAACTATCAAAAGAAGGGTAACAAGAATGATGATGATAACGAAAGCAAGAGGCGCAAGAAAGACTAAGGCTCATTTGATGCATTATGAGATTGTTATGTTATGGTTTACAATTTATACTGCAACATTTATACTCTCTTTTCTTTTTCTTTTTTTCTTGCAATTTTATTCTGCTAGACATTGAAATATTTGCATGGATTAATGGATTGAAAAATGGGTTTAATTAGATTCAATAATTCATATGTTAGCTTGATCCTCTGAGTGCAACATTATATTTAGTATACTAGAATTCTTTTGATTTACGAGAAAGCCTTCGATCACTATTAGAATGTATATTCTAGGTTAAGTCCGCATTGTAACCTTAAAAAGGGCCACAAGAAATATAATTAAAGTAAATCAGCTTAGGTTGTAGACATCCGTTATTAGAATTCTTGGCATGCATGGCAGCATTGTTGCATTGTCTGTGCAAACATATATACCAAACTAAATAACCGCATGGGCAGCCCAACTGGTCATAGATGTGAAACTTTGGAAAAATGACCAGGAATCGAGTCTCACCAGCGGCAATGGGGGAGCAACTTCTCAAAGTGAGGGGGGGTCCCTTGTGCTCAGTGAGCACCGGTCTAGTCAGTTACTATGATTTACATCCTCCCAAATGCTAAGAATATATACCACCCTAAAAGGGTTATACGTTTAATTAATATGTGGCACTTTATTAATTAGGATAACGAATTGAGGTTCTATATAGCATAATACATGCATTAGATATCGATAAAATTATCTTGTTTTAATAAATACTTCTATCTAAATCTAAAATATGCATGATTAAAGATTCTTAAAATAATTTACTATTATACAACAAAACAAGACGAGATGGATGTGTTTTATTGGGAAACCATGCATGCAAGCTAAGTTTCCGATTATATTATAGATGTATTTAATAAGTTTTTGCTACGATGGCATTGATGGGTGGTTTGTATATTTCTATATCTATATGAGAAAATTTCAATTTTGGTCCACTGACTATTGCACTTGTGTTAATTGCAACACTTGACTTTCAAAAATGTTAATCTAGTACCTTGACTATGCAATTTCTATCAATTTTGGTCACGCCGGTCAAATTGCCGGCCAAATCTCACTGGAAAATTTTAATAGGTCAACTAATGAGGGTATTTTAGTCATTTTACTCATTTTTCTTTCTTCTCCCCTGAGTTTCTCCATTTCCGGTGAGCTTCTCTATTTCCGGCGACCAATGGTGGATCTTCATAACCAATCGCTTATGCTTTCTCCTCCGCCATGCCTTTCGAGTTGGAATCTTCCGTTTTGCTTTGTTGATGTATCCATTGCATCGTTAATCAAAGTCGAGAGGACATTGCTGGTCTTCGCCAATGCATCTCTAAGAAGGTTTAGCAAAACTTCAAAAACTCAAACCCATCCCTCCAAAATCCTTTCATAAACTATAAAAATGGCTGACCCAAACTATCCCAAAAACCACCACTCATCACTCCATTCCCAGTTCTTCCTCGATTCAATCTCTCCAATCTTTAATCTGCCATGGAGGTAGTAGCAGCCGCCATTGTTGAGCACGATAACAAAGAGAACATCCCACCATTATCTGCAGAAAAGTTCATCCCGAAGCCTTCAAAAACCAAGCTTTTCAAGAAGAGGATTCCCAGGAGGCCTCTCAGAGACATTACTCACCTTTTCAACACTCCACTCCAATGGATACATCAACAAAGCAGAAGCGGCTGGTTATGAAGATCCACCATTGGTCGCCGGAAATGGAGAAGCTCACCGGAAATGAAGAAGAAGCTCACCGGAAATGGACAAACTCTGGGGAGAAGAAAGAAAAAAATGACTAAAATGACTAAAATACCCCCATTAGTTGACCTATTAAAATTTTTCGGTGAGATTTGGCCAGCGTGACCAAAATTGATAGAAATTGCATAGTCAAGGTACTAGATTAACATTTTTGAAAGTCAAGTGCTGCAATTAACACAAGTGCAATAGTCAGTGGACCAAAATTGAAATTTGCTCTTTCTATATTTTAATTTTGACTATTTTTTAAAGGGAAAATGGCACTTTTTACCCCTGAGTTATATACTTATAGCACTTTTTCCCCCTCAATTATTTAAGTAAGCACATTAACCCCCTCAGTTATTCTAAAAGTGGTGCTTTTTCCCCCCCTGATATATTCAATTGACATTTATACCCTTAAAGTAAATATTTTATTTATTTTACTTCTCCAACAAATTATTGCGTATACGTAGGGATGACCACGGTTCGGTTTGAATTGAACCGGATACTATAGCAATCGAATTAATAGTTTTCGGTTATAATTCAGATCTAGAATCCAATATTTAAATGTCAATTTATTAAAATTATGTATCAAAAAAATTGAATCTTGAACCGTGAACCGGCGGTTCTGGATCCGATTCGCGATTTTGAACCGTCTTTATTTTAAAATTTTATTTTTTATTTTAAAATAGTATAAATTCAACAATATATGTATTTTATTTTTTCAGTTCGGAACATGAACCGTCCGTTCTGGTTCACGATTTTAATAAACTCTAAATGTCGGATTTCGATTCTAAATTGTAATTGGAATATTTCAGTTTGGTTGCTATAGTGTTTGTTTGGTTTGAACCAAATTATGGTCATAATTTGTTGGAAAAAAAATAAATTAAATATTTAGTTGAAGGGTAAATATGTCCATTTAACATTTCAGGGGGGAAAACAGCCACTTCAATAATTTAGGAGGCAAAAATACTATAAGTATATAATTCAGAGGGAAAAAGTGTCATTTTCCCTTTTTAAAAAGTGATGAAAACTTTTGAATTTTTAAATTCTGTGAACATTAAAAAGTGAACCGAACTTTCGATCGAAACTAATAATAAGGCACTTAATTAGCACAATTGTTCAATTGTGCAATGTGAGAAAATTAAGGGAAAATAATTAAATAATTAGTACTAAATATGACAAAATTAAAAGAATAGGACTAAATGTGTCAATGCCACAATAGTCGAGGTCAAAAGTGAAATTTGCTCATTATTGTTTCCAAATGTTTAAAATTCATATAATAAAATTAAAATCTTAATATCCTTTCCAAATGTTCAAAATTTCTAGATCCCAAAATATAATTTTTTGATATTTTTTTCCAAATTTTTAATCAAGTAAAATTAGTTTGAAAGTTTCTAAAAATATTTTATTATGATCTTATAATAAAATTAAATTTTAAATATTTTGTTTCTAAATGTTTAACCAAATAACTAAAAAAATTATTAATATTAACAATAATTAGTGGATTTGTAGTGGATTGTTTTGTTTACAAATTATTAAGCCTATAGTACAAAATTTCCAGTGCGCTTTACATTTTTTTTTTTTTTAAGGTCAACCAATGGGTTGTATTTATAGATAAGCTGAAATAGCGTTTGGTGGGATATCATCCCAATACATAGCTGTATCATAATGAAAAGCTGAAGCTGCTAAACTATGTGCTAAATAATTCTGCGATCTAGAAATAAAATGAACATAACAATATGTAAAAGTAGTAATATGGTTTCTGCATCCATTAAGAGCATAACCAATATACGATCTTGCTAGTTGATACGGTGGTGTCAAATATTTATGTAGCGCCTGACAATCCGTATGAAGCTCAACAGATTGTACTCCACAGTCGCGTAACCAAGATAGGGCCTCCTTGCAGGCGTATGCCTCTGCCATTAGTGGGGAGTAACAATGTGGCAACGGCGCAGTGAATGCTGAGACAAAACGGCCGTCCTCTCCCATAAGCACCGCACCTACCGAAGCTAAGTTGGGACCATCGTGGTAGGCGGCATCGACGAAGCATTTGTTGGGATGGCGCTGCTGTCCAGGTGGCTGGTGTGATGGATGCCGCACGGCAGTAGGGGGTAGTATTGCGACTTGGTTGACAACAGCAGGTGCTTGAGCGGCTGCATTTGGTGGGGATAAGTGAACTTGGCGCCATGCATTCACAGCAACATGGGCCACAGCCAGTGTTTTCCTCGGGTAAGACAAACAAGCATCTCATACCGCTCCGTTTCGGGCTCTCCATAGATAGTATAGGATTGCAGCTGCGTAGAAATTCCATCAGAGTCTAGAATATTTAACAATTCACCAAATCATTCATAAAAAATATTTGTCATAATGCTCGGTAATGGTAGGTTAGATTGTGCCCAAATGGCTTTTGCATAATCACACAAAACCAATGCATGCATAACATCCTCATTCTTCACCCCACACACGGCACACAATGGAGTGATGGACTAACATCCACCCTTTTAATACGCAAGTTGGTGGTAGTGGGAAGAATATCACTTATGGCCCTCCATAAGAAAGTTCTCCATTTGGGTGGTATTTTTTGTTTCCACAAAGTGAGCCATTTATTAAACCCCGTATTCATATTATTCTCATGATTTCCAATAATACGCCTGTACCCATTCTTAACTGAATAGCAACCATTGGGGTCCCCATGCCAATACCATAGGTCCTCATACTCCTGGGAGACTGGTATTTTTAAAATTCTTGCCACATCATTAGGCTCAAAAATATCAGTGAGCAAATGATAATCCCATGTTCCTATCCCCTGATCAATTAAGTTGACTACTTTAGCATCAGCCAGTTGGGGTGACATTTCTGTTTGGATCATGGGGTCCTCCCCATCTTGTAACCAAGGATGCCTCCACACAGAGGTTGAATTTCCATTCCCAATCCCCATTCTTACACCACTACAGACTAGGCTCAGCTCTTTGTAGCCATAATACTCCGCCAGCAATGACTGGGATTATATCCCAGATCCGCATCTATAAATGAATGTCTAGGGTAATACCTGGCTTTATAAACTTTTGAGACCAAAGAGTCCGTATTGGTAAGCAATCTCCATGCCTGCTTACCCAACAGTGCCACATTAAAAGCTTTAAGATCTTTAAAACCCAGTCCACCATATTTCTTAGGGATACATAACTTATCCCAAGCTTTCCAATGTATCTTCTGATCAGTCCCAGATCCCCACCAATATCGATTCATAAGTCGCTCAATGGCAGCACAGA